AGTTTGGCAACGGGTTGCGGGCCTGATTCTACTGAAAAGGGTTGGTTGTTGTTGTTGATCGATGGTTGTTGGATGGGATGGTCGTTTGGTTGGATGGTGAGGATTGGAGAGTGAGTGGCTGAGCTGGCCGACTGAGGGGAGATGATGATCAGTCCCTCGAGCGAGTCCAGCAGGCCCATACTGTTCAAGCGACGCGGTGAGAGCGAGATGACTGGCTTGCAGAGGGTCAGCTGCGATTCGGCGGTCAAGAAGGATGAGCCTGACAAGTCGAAGCTGCAGTACAGTGAAGAGCACACAAAATGTGGTAGTGGTACTTCTGGTGGTGGTCATATTAGGACTGTCAAACATAATTCGAGGAAGAAAAGCACAACAAGTTAAAATACCACCACTACGACGTGGAGAAGAGTTATCTTTGAGGGTATGTATGCTATAAACAACTTGTAAACGGCTTCAGAGGGCCAGTGTACTCTAGCCATCAATTTATACAATCAGCTGCGCCTGACGTTGGTTCTCAACTGCAGGAAAAACCCTTGCAACCCATGAAATCGGAGACTCGGAGTTGGGGGAGATAGATATTTGCAGTCGGGAAGAAGATATTCATCATCTTGGATCGGCCAACAAAACCCAGCCGGATATAGGAATCGGCCATCATGCCCTATTCAGAAGAAGAAGAAGAGGAGGAGAAAAAGAGATACGCGACAGAGCTTACCCGGCCAAGCACGCCTCAACACTTATAGCAGTGGTAGGAACACGTTGCAGTATGGTCATTAAGTCAAAGCTGTGGGTCTGGTTCTTTTTTATAGTCATAAAGGGGATTCACACCACATATCAACCTCCGCTGGCTCGATGGGATAAAGGAAGTGATTGGTTTAGGAAATCGGTCACCTCGCTCGGCCATCCCGATCTCCCGGCGGCCGGTTCCCCGGTTGAGCCCTGATAGATGCTTACCTTAATCATAGTCGATTAATTATGTTGAAGGCTGATGGTGAACGGTTGATCAGATAAGTTGCAGATGCTTATAAAGCGAGAAAGATCGCCACTTCATGACCAGCCATCTTGATCCAGCAGCTTACAATTCGCAACACAACACAGCCAGCATCGCTTAATCCCATTCGGTTTTGCCATGTGAATCACTGGCCATCATCATCATCATCCCAGCCCAACCGAAAGGAATCCGCAGCTTTTGACGCGAGCATCCATTTCCGAACACACGATGATCGAGTGGCTTATGTCCCCAACTCATCCAATGAGTGTAGTCACTGTCCACCTCAAATCATTCGCCCTAACTGACACAGAGAGTACACACACTGGAAATCAACTGAAACTCAAACTGAGCAGAGCTGGAAAGCAGTCGATCAATTGTCACCCAGATCAATCCTCGCCGATCAAACTCTCATCTTGTCTGATCTGAGCCCCTAAAGCTCTTTCAACTTCATTCAAGTCTCGCTCAAACTGTCGAGCCGGAGAATCTAATACATACATCTTCTGATTCTTAGAACTCTCTCTTTAATTGGCATGGATCAATTCATTTTCACAAAGAAACAGATGCTTTTCATCGCTGGTCAAGACAAACCACCAGGGAAAACCCAGATGCAATGTCGATCCGTTCGAATGTCTGTATGACCGACCTGTCGTCATACAAGGTATCAGTTCTGAGTCCGTTTGGAGCACTCCGCCGAATGGGCTGATTGGTTTTGACAGTCCAGAAGTATCGAGATTCGTGGACTGCTCGCATCAGTTTGTTGAGTGTCTTGTCGCATCGAGTTTAGGAGCCTCATTGTACATACATCCTGATCAAAGGGTTTGGCCGTTAGCTTGCCATGGAGTGGACATGGCCGTGTTCTGATTAGGAGTGATTTCTTTATTTATTATAAAGAGCTATCATTCCAAAATACAACCACTACATATTCCAGTTGTTGTTACCCATCCAGATCATCCTCCGTTTCCCATGATGGTCGATTTGGCTTACTTCAGCTTGACCACCAGCCTCTGGTTCTTGGTCTTGTTCCCAGTGGGCTTGGTGAGTATTAAGGCCGACAGTTCTCTGGGATCACTTGGTCGATCGATCGAAGAACACAGCGGTGATCGAGCTGAAAGAAATGCTGGGCCATTGAGCGGTAATTAAGACGACTGATCTCCATGCAGGAAACAGAGATTCTTGATTGATTGTTTTTTGACTTGACTGGAAAAAAAAACTGGATCGATGACTTGTAGCGATTCCTGTGAAGAGAAAATCAAGGAACAGAATGCCCTCTTTGGTCCCTTGTGTGCGCATCCCAGGACCAGGGAAGCGGAGGACATCAGACCCTGCGGCTGCTGAGAGACGTGGGTCCTCTTTTGATTTTGTCGATCAGAGTTTAAAATTAAGGCTGATGAGTTCCTTGACGTTTTGGAAGGCGCAAGGGTAACAGATAACTGGGATCTCAATCGAGGCAAGAATGATGTATAAGACGTAGTGGTAGAAACTTATAAAGAAAGCTGATATAAAATGACTTTTTTTCTTAAAAAAATTTTATGATATATAGATCAGGTCCTCTTACTTCAACAATACAAACAAGAATTCCCAGCTTATCAAGAAGAGCTAGAGAGGCAATTGAGATGGCTTGAAAGGCATTCCAAGAAAATCAGTCCTGCTGAGTTGCAGATGGCGCGGAAAGTGTTTGAAGGATCAAAGCAACAGATCTCCAGTCTGATCCAGACGAGACTTCTGGAGCTGGGGAAAGTGGACGAACGAGCGACCGCGATTGATGATCCAAACGACCCAGTTTCATCATCATCCTCATCATCATCGTTGAGTGATCCGCCGACAAAGAGCCCGTCACTTGGTCTCAAGCTGGCTCAACTTGCTTACATTCCTGCAGAGCTACGCACCCAGATTACCGAGCAATCAGCATTACTACTCTGGGAAGACGCAAAGAAGATGCTGACGACCCAGCGGAAGATATACGAAGCTGAGGAGCTGAAGAGCCAAAGAAAGCCCAGATGGCCCTCGGCCAGTTTCTCCACACTCTTTACATCAAGCACTACTACCAATAATGACCACTCAAGATTCGACCCTCTCATGCCATCCAAATATGCTTTCAAGATCCTCGACTTCTTGGTCCAAAACCAGCTCATCACTCTCCAATCCTCACGTGCCTTCTTCCACGATCTCCCGTTTGTTCAGACGGTCATCAGCTACTCTCTCGCCCGTATCAAAGCCGAAGTCGGCGCGTCTTATTGGAAATCGATCGATCATTTGACTGCTCATTGGTATTGGCCTTCATTGAATAAAGTCTTTTCAGGTCTTTGTCCCCCCCCCCCCTGTCACTCTATCATGCAAACTTCAACATTGTCTAGGTGGATTTCAAAAGCTGAGGATCTCACATATTCTCATCTTTCTTTCTTTCTTCTGTTTTTTTTCTTTTTTTTTTTTTGGAAAATGGTCGCAGCTTTGGGTAAGAAAGAAGAATCGATTATCGACTTTGTTTTCCATGTCGGAAAGTTGAAGGCATTAGTGCACCTCTCAAATGGGATAGAATCCACCGACTATTTCTACAGTGCCCAATGGGCCGAGTTTTCAAAACAATTTCCATGGAGGAAGTGTTTCGAAAGATTAGGTGAAGACGTTGGGCATCAATCGGGGACAGAGGCCAGCTTATCTAGGCTCGAACATGGCGACCATCAAATAGCCCTTCACGATCCTCCAATAATCTCTCGAAAGCACTCTCAAGAATGTCCTGCTGCACAGGGAACAGAAGAAGAAGAAATGGAGAGACTCATCAGGCTGTTGGTTACTACTCGCCATAGCCAGGGCATCACTATCCCTAAATTCGGCTTGAGACTTTACCGGACAGAGACAATCAACCTCTTCGAATTCATGAACAATGCACTATACCCGGGGATTGTTTCCAAGTTGTAAGTTCCATTGACCAGTCTCTCATACCTCATTAAAAGAAAAGGAGAGAAAGATACTAATGACCAAGGTGGATCTCTGCTGGAACGGGCACCTGATAACACAGAGTGAAGAATGAAGAGTTTGAGCGGATCATGCACGACTCGATTGGTCTAGTGGATCAGAAGCACGAGAGAGCGGAATCGCTGTTCTACTTATCGCTGCTCTATTCGCGATACCACAGCTTGGTGATCGACACCCAATCCTATCTCAATCTGCTAGCCACAACCCTGCATGCCAGAAAGAGCAAGGCCCCTCATGGAAGCTTTGCGCAGCTGGTCGAACAAGACCCGGTTCTGGCGGTTTATTCTGACCGGTTCGATTGGATCTTGGAACATTATAAAAAGCTCTATAATAGCATTCATAGTCGGAATCCTCTGCTCATCCATCATTTAGATCCGAAGTTTAGGGAGTTGTATCTGAGTGATTAGTCTGATTGGATGGATCAGATTCAGATCCCCCAAAACCCTGATGCTTTCCTCCTCACATCTGTTGTTTATTGGAACGAAACCGTCCTAGTTATGGCTGAAAAGAAGAGCACATAACCCTGCAAGAGAATGTTGATGAGGACCGGGCCGGTGGTACCGCATCCCCACACCCAGAGTACCATTGACCTGCAAGAGTGGTGCTTTCTGGCCTGCAGGGGACCTGCAGCTTGCTTCCAGGTTTCCAGGAATGAGGCTCTCTTCCCTGAAGGGCAAATCGGGCTCCAGGAGTCCTCCTCGTTGGCCCTCAGGAAGAGACACGGCGGGCTTCCAAGAGGCTTTGCTCCTTGGAGACAGGTAGTGGACAAATCCATGTTTCCGAGGAGGAACACCGTTTGGAAACCTGGCTTGTCTCTACCAGGTTTCCCCAAGAAATCCTGGTTGGAAACCTGTTTTTTTGTTTCTACCAGGTCGCCAATGAGGAATGCCTCTCAGCATCTTGGTAAAGACATCCAAAACCCTGAAAGAAAAGGAGATTTATTTACAAGCAGGCAGGACATGAGAAAGTCTTCTATCAGTCTCTCTAAGACCAACCTGGCCGTATGGGAGAGGAGAGGGGGAAGGATGGTATCATGGTTGTCTTCCATCTGAGAACCACGCTTCCTTGGAGGAAAAGAAAAGGAGGGGATTGCTCTGGTGCAAGATACAGTCATTGAGTTAATGGAGAGTAGATGGGTTCTAATACTATTGCCTCTACAAGATTCAGGAAACTTGAGATTAGCTCACTTTTAAGTGTAGCAATGTGTGGACCTATATTACTTAAAATTTACATTGTGGAATGTTGGCATCCTTGACCAAGAATTGTGGATGTATGTAACACATCCTGAACTGGGCTAGGATTGGATTTCAGACCCATGCAGGGAGACCACCAAAGAACACAGTTAAATCCTCCCAGTTGGGGGTGTGAAGATGGTGAGTCTGCTTCCGGTGTATCTTGGGAAGAACGTGTTGAAATCTGGGCACTCTTGTTTCCCTCCAGACTGGGTCAAAGCTTGGTCACTGAGCTCAGTGATATCTTACCTCACAACCAAGAAACTTGCGTTATCAATGTATATAAGTTTCCCAATTCATATTAGCCACATTAGTCTATCACAACTCATCCTCTCCTACTTCATGAACTAGTACTTCATCACTTCCCCTCCTTTCAACTCCATTGCTGACAGACCACATCTTTCCCCTACCTCTTGATTCATTTTCAAACCTCAAGAAAGCCCATCTGGTCTTTTGCCATCTTATTACTTCTCTTGTCCTTGAGTTATTTGTTGGATCATCTCTCTCTCTCTCTCTCTCTCCGGTTTTCATTTGCCTTCAGTTCAGATTCTTTTCTCTTATTCATTGTATTTCTCATTCACTTGAACTCAAAGGAAATATATCACTTCAGTTTGATCATTCACAGAAAAAGGTCTACAAATTGGGCAGAAAGGTTTCAAGATGATAACTTCCCTCCCTTCATGTATTTCATTGGAGGGGTGAAACACATTTTCCATGGATCTAACAAGATTGGAAAAGTGCCACAGTGGAGTCTTTGTATTTTTTTAGGATGCGTGAGTATGAAGTTTTTATAAAGAGATACTTAATTTGATTCTTTGTATCAGTATTCAAGTATACTATTCAGTCTTACTGATATCTTGACAAAAACACAAGCCCTTAGTCCTCTAGCACCATGGTTATCATCCTGGATCCCTGTTTTTGTGTGTTTCTCAATGGATCAATCAATTCTCAATGAGACTTTGAGACATTTATTACTTGATTTATAAGTTACAGTTGGTGTTTTGATGCTTCAATATGCATTGAAATCTTGAGAAGGACTATTCTGGATCTGTTAACTACCTACTTGTCTAAAAACTTCACTTAATTGGTGTTTTTCTTCTTTCACACCCACCTCTTTTAAGAATTCAATCATTACTGAAATCATGGTAGCATTCCACTCTATTTTCCTCAGCCTTTGGCTTACCTCAGCCTCACCTACTTTGAGTGCATTCTCAAAAGTACCATGGAGACCATTTGGAAGCAATCCAACAGAAAGAAATCAATCGGTCCCTAAAACTATCAACTGCCAGAAATTGGTAGATCTTGCCTGCTTTCGTCCCTAAAACTATCAACTGCCAGAAATTGGTAGATCTTGCCTGCTTTCTCAACTTTCAACTGCCAGAAATTGGTAGATCTTGCCTGCTTTCTCAACTTTTTTTCCCCTCCAATGTATCTCAAAGCTCTTATAACTGCTGAAACAGAATCTCCAGCAAAAGGAATAGGATGATTCAGAGCATTCATTAATCCGCTTTTGAAAAAAGATAGAAAGCTCAAAAACAAACCAATCAGTCACACAAGGTGTTAGTCAATCAATCAATTCATGACATTTGTTGAGTTTACATAATAATAAAAAACCATTCATTTTTACTTCTTGAAGTTGGTACATCAGATTCTTGGAAGAAAAATCAGGGCAAGTACTTTTTTGGCTCTTCAATTTTCACAGTGAAAACATCAATTTTTTGTTTATTTGTTGTTGATGTGAGGTGAATTGGATTGATAGAACAAGTGAAGTTGCTCCATCAACATTATTCAATACTTTCAGCCGCTCAAGAAGAGCTTCAGAAACAGCTTCAGTGGCTGCAAAGACATAGAAGAGAAGTGTCAGCCTCTGGGTAACTAACCTGAGTATTTAATAGTAAAAAGGTTGTTACTATGAGTTGACTGAAGTTTTTGAGCGTGGTGAGTGTTAGGTAGTGGGTGATTAATACCAGTCCTGTAAAGAGGAGGTTTCACTCTATCAGTATGGTCTTTACTGAGAGGCTTGCTATCAACAGCGCATCCGGATCAATACAAGGTATTAATAGGCATCCAGGGTACTAAGACTCACCTGGGATTGATTTGGTTATTCCCAAAAAGGGAATGGGCTAACAATACTTATTAAGCTTTAACAAAATTAGTTGAAGATTAACAGGTATTGTTGATGGGAATATTCAGCAAGGCTATGAATACTGTGGATAAGTTGAGTAAGAGTACTGAAGCTTAAGAACAATAAATGTAGACAAGATTTATGTTGGTTACGTGTACTGTATCAATATAAATGTTAACTGGTTTAACTGGTGTCTGAATATTCTGGGGATTAATCAGTGAAAGAGGCACAGATTATAAGTTCCAGAATACTGAAGGGGGGAAAGAATGAGCGCTCAGAATCAAGGGAGCTTTGGCCAGGAGAATGAGTACATCAATTGAGTGACTGATCATTATTTGTCATGATCTGTAAGTGACATCATAATTGTGTACTAGTTGATCAATGTACTAGTAGCTCTTGATGCGTGTACTTAACAGATCCTCTAATAATGTAGTCATAATTGTGATCAGTGCATGTATTGAATGTATTAATTCTATTGACACTTAATACTTACTATTTAATACATGTACATATTTATTTGTAATAATATTTGACCGTGAAAATACTGTAGCAGAGGGATAACTTGTGGTACAGGTATTTCACGGACAAAGGAGTGAAAGGTAAGTGATAATTACTTATGTAGAACACAGGTATGTATTTAATAGATAAGTAATTAACAGACAAGATAAATGTAATATAAATAAGATAAGATAAGTTAATGATAATAATAAGATAACAAGAGGTAAAGGTAATCAACATTATGGATAAGTACTTATGTACATAAGTACAGGTGTTGCAGTTACTTGGTACATGAAAGGTACTGTGACATGTACTCTGTGGCTGACAAGAAGAATATCCTGAACAGATATTTGAGGCAGTAGAAATACTTCAACATTCAAAGGAAGGGATTGCAATACTCAAGCAATGGAAGTTGTACCTTCTTGGATGGTTTGATGAAAACAGATTGGTTGAAAATTCAAAATCACTTCATCCTGAAAGTCTAGAAGAAGAAGGAAAATCAGAGAGGCCATTCTTTGGGATTCCTGCAGAATTGCGGCCAATGATCATACCAAGATACTCAGATTTAGTCTTTCAAGAGCTGAAGGGATTGTTCACAACTTACAATATCTTATTTCAGGACCAAAAACTATGTGAAAAAGTGAAACCTTTGGGCTTTTTCCAAGCCATAGGTTCCATCTGGTCTGAGTCCACTCCTCCTATCAAGAGATTCAAGCCTGAAACTGCACAGACTTATGTGATCAATTTCCTTGACTTTCTAGTTGAAAATAAACTGATCAATGATGGAATGGCCAGACAAATCTTCCATGATGAGAAAACAGTGGAACAATTTGTCCTGCATTTGGTCACTTGTTTAAAGAGTAGAACTGGAGGCATCTCATCATACAGAAATCAGTTGACTAAAACCTGGTACTGGCCATATCTCAATCCATTCTATAAACATATATATCAAACTTCCCTATCAAAATTCCATGGAAAACTAGGTGACTGATTGTGTATTTGTTTTTTTTCCAAAATAGTATTGGGAAAGAAAGAAAAGGGCATCTTGAATTTTGTTTTTCTTGTAGGAAGATTTACTTCAAGAAAGCAGTATGATTGCGCAGAGCATTACATATCTGTCAGAGGTTCTGATGTATTTCCATATGAAAAAACACTTCCACAGGTTAGGTTTGTCAAATGAACCACACCATTTACACTCCAATGAGATGAATAGAAAAAATCACCCTGGCCACGGAAGCTCAATCGATTCAGGAGGTTCATATAATGAAGAGGAAATGGAAAGCATTCCAAAACAGCTGATTGATGAAGGCCTTGAGAAGAGTGAAGAGATGGAATTCAGTGATCATCAATTGGAGCTTTTTGTGGTTGATGCTATCAATCTTTTTTCATTCATGGACAAGGAAACGTATCCTGGGATGATCAAGAAGCTGTAAGCATCAAGAATTTAAGACATCTTGATCCAACAAACTAAAATGACTTACCAATCAATATTTCCTCTTCCCTCTCTACATTGAGCAGATTGAAAAACTCCAACTTTTTGAATATCTTGCATGACTATCTAGGATTACCAGAAGACTATCCCAATCCAGAAGAACTTATTGATCTCGTATCATCATGGACAAAGCTAGACAGCTTACTGCACACGGCTCATTGGTATGAGAAACTCTCCAGAATGGCAAAACCTGGATTAGAAGATGTGATTTGGAAGAAGGGTGAGTATGATGGATACTTGGATGAGA